TTAGGTAAAAAGGACGAGTGATACATACAGAGAACTTTAAGCTATTTAAAACACACTAATATATTGGATAGGGCTTAAAACTTTTGCCGATTTTCTGAGCACACATTTGTAGCGCTAAGCCTTGTAGTCTTCTTTATACATGCATGCTTACCTGTTTTTGTTACATAAATGGACAGTTATTTACAGCGTTATGGTTTGAAAACGTTTCCTTCCAATTATATCTCCAGGTGCCATGCAATTATCTGAGCAGACACAACTTCGCGCCCCACAACAGCCTACTTTGGTAGGATTCTGTGAAAAAAAATTGGCAAGTTATCAAGCATGATCCAACCAATATTGTGATGGAGTCGTTAGAAAAACTCTTCTGCTATTTTTCGTTTATGAGTACGCTTTGTTATATTTAATATTAAAGGACTAAAGGAACATAAACTTTGATGATATTACGAGATTTTTTATTAAGTGGATTTTACTCGATAAGAGAAATACCTCATTGGATTTTCATATTATAACTACTCGACGTGCTCCTAACGGCACGATATCCACTAGCAAGGATTTAAAGAGGTTGCCGCGTATATAGGGCCTAGTCGGGTGAAGAGAAGGATGAGCCTCCTTTACTATATTTTAAAATCCCAAGAAGACAGAATGAATGGTGCAGAAAATCTGTGCTAAAGAGGTACAAAGTTATGACAAAATATGGTGGAGACATGCTAACATTGTAGGTGTAAGTATAGCAGGAAAGTAGACTGTCGTCCAGACTTGTCCTCTGTAGAATGAGTGGTTCCGTAATAGATAAGTCAGAAAAAGGTTTCTCTTGCTTAATATTAGAGATTTTGTATTCTCATTTGTGTCCGACGGAGTTGTGTCCGATACGGAGAAAGAGTCTGACTGATCTGAGTGGAGAGCCAACTGACAGACTAAGTTCACAAACAATTGCTGTCAAGAGAAACCGAAATTGTACTCTTTAGATGAAATATAGTCTTATTGATTAGGGCAGTTGCCTTTAAGACGAACTACAAGGAAAGGTCTGCTAGGTTTAATGCTACGTTTGCTCTCAGTTGACACGGCTGCTAGCCATAGTTCTAGAAATATGATGAGGGGAATGTGTACCCAAAATGCAGCATGTAGCACCGAGTTTACAAGCCTGGAGGGGATAGGCCCAGTGCAGGGGCAGAAAACGTAAATATGTGAATAAATGATCTGTCGAGTAAGTACAACATTTTAATGTGTCCACATTGAATTTGGGCTGCTAGAATTATGGAATTTTTCATGCCACATTACTTTTCTTATAACAATTCGCTTATAATATGAATACTATACATAAAGTAAGCTATATTTTACTTTGAGGTGCTAATATCGAAAGTTTTCGTCCTAAGCCCCGTGTTTCCACTGTAGTTAAATTATCGTTTTGCAAACCAATAAGCATTTAAAATATATAATACCTTTGCTGCTTTTCGTCTATTTATAATCATAATCCGGCTAAGTTGAAAGCTATGGCTAAAAGCCAATTACCACCTACTAGGAAAGTAATAAATTTCCCGCTGCACTTTTGGTCAGTTGGCTTGCCTTATTTTGGCTACGGAGCATTGAGTAGGAAGGCAAGTCTTATCTTATTTACATGATATTTTTTCGTACTATTCAGTATCTTATAATATTGCTGGTAAATCATTTGTCATTAAAGTATTATACATTTTCATCTATTTCAAGACCTCCTCCATAAGCATGCAAGGAAATTTTATGTATAAATAAACTTATACTTAACTATATATAAATGCGACCCCTATTTAATAATAAATTATACTTTTCTTTAGTTCTTCATCATCCAAATTCTGTGTTTAACATCTAATCCTTCAGCAAATAGATTTAAACTTTTGTAGAAATTGAAGTCCAAGCTCCCAATATCCTGATAGGCAAAAAATAGGCCATTCATGGATGTACAGAACTTTTAAAAATAATTGAATCTGATTGAACTTCATGAATAAAATAGGTTTATTAAAGATAATAAAACGTTTTGTAATGTACAAAGATCTGTGCCTTGTCAGCAGTGGTCTTGACTGATTATATTGAGAAAATTCAATGACATAGGCCAAGAGCTGTTGATAAGAATTAAAAAAAATAACGAAAGGTACGCCTTCTGCACTGGACAAGGATGTATCTGTACATCAGGTGGCACAAGGAAAGAGCTGAAGTCAAGATAATAATCGAGAATTTTGATCGGTACTGTAAACGAGAGAACAAATGCTAGACTCAATCTACTGTACTTGCTTCAGCTAATCCCTCTTTAAATCTGTGTTTCCAAGAGAAAATGAAATGCAAACGTCTTCATTAATGGAGGCCAAATTAGGCGGATACACAAGAGGACAAAGAGGGTAGGAAAAATAGCAAATTATATGGACGAATTTCAGTCGCTAGCCTGCTTGATCACGAAACTGTTTCTTCCAAACACAGGGCTCTGATCTTCGTCACTTCTGGTGATATTAGCTCCATCTGTACTGAGACTTAGATTTCCATTTGATAAACTGTTTCCGAACTTTGGAGCCGGATGGATTCTCGAGGAAATCAGCACGGGAGATAGCCTCTGCGACGTGACTATCTGGGATGTAGATGATAAGGAAGGAGTGCAACTGGTTGTCGAATATGTATCACAGTCCCGAGATGTGCGCACCAAAATCGGGCCGGTTGAGACCACCAAGTGTGGACTATTTGAAAAAGTTTGCCCAGTTGCAACTGAGTTGCTGGCTAGTAAATCCTGCTCCAGTGGCTGGAAGGTACTAAATGGTACACTACTTAAAGACCCCGAAAATGCTGTCACAGGACTAGTTTGTTTCTGATCCTCTTTAGCCAGTGAATGATTTACTGCAAAGTGGATATTATCAGAGGATGGCCTGCGGACCTCTTGCAATGTATCCTGGCCTACGACACTTAAAAACCTTGGTTGTGTCTGCAGGCGCCGTGTACTTTCATCTGCCTTTAAGTCTTGATGAACCTGCAATTTACTCTGGCTGTCCGTCTGTGGTGAATATATTCGTTGGAGAGCATTTACATCGACTTGTGGACTTGAGTATTGTGGACTCCATTCAAAACGGCGGATGTATGGGGAATTGCTATAAGTGAATTTGCTTTCTGTCCGAAGATCTGGAGTTGGCGATCTAGAGGTTATACGAGGAAGTATGCTATTGCCAGGGTCCCGATCAACGAATTGGATTCGACTCCTTCCAACATTTCCATTTCCATCGTCCTCTTCTATCAGAAACTCTTTACAACTCCGTCCACTCTCTTCTTCCTCTTCTTCTTCTAGCTCGTCATCTTCGTAATCACCAGGCACACGACCATTGACACTAACATAACCGAATAGGATAGACGATTGACTGTTTAGCAGATTAAGTGGTGGATCAATAATGAGAAACTCGCGGCATTGGTTTCGCGTGAGGTCAAATGATACACATCTACAGCTTAAACTGTCAGAATGATGATCTGAGATAGAGGCAGAGGATTGAGCTAGTTCATGATCGTTGTTGACGATGCTAAAATGTGAGGGCTGACCAGCTGAAAGGTAGAAATCAAATGGGTATTGGCATCAATTAATAATAGCATGAGTTCTTTCTGGGAAGATATATATATATATATATATATATACCTACTTTAAAATAATTTATCACTATCATGCAGTAGACTATTTCACTGTATAACTTTTCGGTAATTAGCTCAAATTTTGGGTATAAAGCTATACGTAATACATGCGAATACTTTGGGCTTCACAAACATCACCGGCCTAAGTGTTTCCTAATCTTTTTAGCTTAGTAACTCCATTTTATCTGTTAGCTGCAGCGAACCATTATGTTGTTTAAAATAGGGGGATCTAAAGTACATACTATTTGCCGTCTCAGGCCACTTAAGATAGTTGTGTGACGGGAATTTATTCAAGGACTTTTTATTGTCACTCTAAATTTTTTCTTTGCTCAAACGACTTCCTGAGCTTGCTCAGCTTTTACTACGAAAATGCATTATTATTTAAAGCTAACCAATCACGAGTATCGAAACAGCTAGCTGCCCCATAACTTCCCCTTAAGCCTCCATAAAACTGAGGTAAACAGTTAGGAAAACTCGTTTAAAGCTTTAACTAAGAATTTAGTATTTCTAAAACACTCCTAGACTTATTTGGAACCTTCTTCTCTATTAATAAATTATATTTGATATACCAAAATTCCAAAAAAATAAAAAAATATATATGTATGTATGTTGTTATACATGTTATGCCTGTTATATACAGTCATCTTCTGGTATTTTTTAGAACTTGACTATAGAAAAAACTTGCCTCCTTCTTGAAATGATGATGCTTCTATATAATTGAAATTGCCAAAAACTATGAACATGTGATAAAGCTGGGTCTAATTTGCACCAAAATTGTAATGGTTCAAAACGTTGAAAATATTAATTTGACGACAGATGCATGACGTCACGTACTGAGCATTTACCGTCATGTCCTATTAAGTCCTTGCAATTCAAGGACGAATGTAGGCCAAGATTTAGGCTCTTTCGTTTCTAGTTAGGTAGACCATCATATGATATGCTCATGATTATTATTACTCTAAGTCATACCCAAAACCTTTTTTTAAATTAGAGCCGCATTCTTCCATTCGTTTCGGAGTAAAACATATAGGCTTCAGACAGTGACCTGGAGGCACTAATCACACTCGAATTAATGCTTTTCGAATATTTTGTTAACGTATGAAGTATAAATGATTAAATGACTCAGTATGCAAATAAGGGAATCGCACCTATTCATGCTACAAAAGTATTGGTGCAAGCCTGCATCATCCACAGCTAGCAATTTTGGCAGGCTTACTATGTACCGAATGATCCTGGTCCCCCTATTTATGCCTAAGCCTACGAAGTAATGGAATAGTGGATTAAAATGAAATTTTACTGGAGGAATGCATACTATATTAAAACTCGAGGTTCAGATTCAGCTATATTTTTTTCACCTGTTTATGACTTCAGCATGCTTTTTTTGATAGAGTAAAAACTATCGTGTAAGAACAAATGCATAACTTTAGAGCTGTTGAGTTTACACTAATACTTCCTGAAACACGCGGTAACCATGTGGGCGACTATATTCTTTGGCATTTTGTCAAAATTGAAACTACAGATAGATAGCAGATATCATTGAACTATTTTTCCTAAGTAATCTTA